ACAGAATGAATGAATTCTGTAAGTTAATTGAAAAATTACATTGATTACTTAATAAAAGATGTTCCATTCTTACTTAATAGAAAGTTAAATTAATGGGTTGATCAGTTAGAGAAGATCAAATTTTCAGTAATTGGCAAATACTTGACGGCTGAAGTCTGCTCTGTTGCTAAAATAGCGTATTCATCAATAAGTTTCAGGATACAAATTGAAGAGGAGTCCTTAGCTGAGGCCATGCAAAACAAATAACAAAGCTTACAACTGTCCTTACAAATATGTATAAGTGGTTTAGGACAACGTGCACACCTGTAGGGCATGCTGTTAAAAATATTTTAGAAAAAAACTTGTCATAGGAAATCCTCAAAAGTGAATCAACACTTAGCATTCCATTGATGATAGTCTACAAGAAAAATGAAAAAGAGATGAATCTGCCTCTTTCATAAGAAACTGAGATAAAGAAAATATTTCTTACACAATACAATTTAAATTATGAAATTTCAAATGTTTTCACATTTAAAAATTTTTGGGAAGTATTATTCTCTGTGAAAATGCTCATTTGAAGCAATATATTTTTGAACTTGTCAAATAGGAGAGAGTACTAATAAAGGGTGTGACTTGTCCTAAAAAGAAAATAAAAAAACCCCTCCTTGTCCTGCTGGCTGTCCTATTTAATTGGACACTCTTTGCATTCAACACACTTCAACTAACTGCTACCACAGGAGGGTGTAGCTATTGATCCACTATCACAACTGATTGTTCCACAGTGCATTTTTAACCTCCCTTTTTTCAGGGACTAGGTGCATTGATCTTTTTCAACCACAGAACTTGCCTAAGCACAAAATTTGTAGGTCATGTTTCTTTATTAAGGCAAAATAGCAACTAGCACATGTAACATTGTTCTGGTGCTCATCAGCTGGTAACGCAGTTGTGTTTAACTCAGAAGCTTGAATCCAAGTTACTGTTCTCCTATATATTATATATACTATTTATATCTATATATTGTATATATTATTTACACCTATATCTAATATATTATTTATAGACTAGAAGTACATTTGTATACGTATTTTTATATAAATATTTAGGTGAAGGAAAAAAAATCCTTTACCTACTTATGCTATCCATATGCCAAGCATGTATGTAAGCACTAGTCACTAGCAGCATCATGTGTTCAGTTCATGCTGTATAGCTTTAAATACGTTTTTGGACATGTCCTTACTGCACATCCTCCTCCACTGATGATTTGTGTGGACCTTTGTTAGAGCTCTGATGAACTCCAGACATCCTACTCATTAGTCTAGTAGCTGGAAGTTCATCAGTCACCTCTGTAAGCTCTTCGTTATTTAAGTGGCACAGCTACTTATGTTAGAAGAAAAGAGCAAGCTTTTGAATTTCTCTCTGGATAACAGAGATTTAAAAGCAAACTCTGTGCTAAAGAAGATTTTTCTAGTCTTCAGTTACGATTACAGGTAGAGTTTCTATTGTACACTATCACTGCTTGTCATAATGGATTTGATTTGGTTATCAATGTAGCTCGTGGATCAGAGCTTACAGGACAGGAAGATCCTTTGTTCCTCTACCCTGTAATTTCATGTTGGACATCAAACAGTGCTTATCGAGAAGGTAGGACAATTGGTGTTTATTTTAATTGTAAAGACTTCTTTACTTCAGAAAGTTACCAGTAAAGCTACCTGCTCCTTGCTTGGAACAAGGGCCTTGCTTGGAAACTTTCTCTTCATTTTGTTCTCAAATATACAAAATCAAGTAAAACATAGTTTTAAAAAGTTCTTAATATAGTCACATTTAGAAGCGTATGAAATACTTGCAATGAATTATTTTAGATGTTGAGGTTAAGTATATAAAATATTAATATTTTAAATAATTTGAATAAGTTTATTTTCTAAAAACCTTAAAAATGAGCTCATTTTTTTAAAGTTGTGTCAAGTTTTCAAAGGTTCTGTTTGTGTGGAATGTTCTTTTTAAATTGAGATACCCCATTTCCACATTAAATTACGTTAGTGAAAGAGGAATTCACAAAAGTCTGAGTACACTTGCATTTTTGAAATAAGATTTAAGATTCTGGTATGCGGCCTTTGCCACTGCCTTATTTTTTTTAATACTGGTGTTCAAAATAACAATGGAGCCTAGCCTGTAAAATTAGTATAGCTTTCAGGTAGGTTAAATATTTATTTCTGGATGGTAAAATCGATGAAGACAGCCAAACAGTAAAAGCAGTTTGCAAACAATTAAAAAGCTGCCTAAAATCTAGACAACACAGCTCCACTGCTGCAATGAGAACTGTGTGATGCTTGTACACTAATGTGACTAATGAGCAATGTACACTAATGAGCAACCTAAGCAAATAGGATGCAGTTACTTTGTTTATACTTGCTTTATTGTTTTTTTCATGATTTTCAGGCATGTGTACAATTAGGCATGTTGAATATTGTTATAAAATATTTTTGCACTATGTACTGCATGATACAAAAATAGTTCCAGACCTGTTTTCTCAGTCCCTACAACGTTTGTCATTCTAGGAGTGTAAATAGAGTGAACTTGTGATTCTGGATGCCCGGTCACAAGAAGAAGTATTTAGCAACTGCTATTGTGTATCATGACCTATCTGATTTTAGTATCAGTATGCCTTTTCTTCATCAGTGTGCAACATGACATAAATATGTGCTTTGAGACATACATAGCTGTAATTATAGCTGAATTCAGAAACCTGTTACAGCATAAATACAAAAACTGTGTTAATTATTTGTTACTTTATTGCAGTGATGAAATTCAGAAAGAAATCACGTTTTCTTGAGTTCTTTGTTCAAGTTTTGCACAAAATCCTGAATGAAGAGAAGTTTCAATGCGTTCTGGAATGGGCAGGCAATGTGCAAGTTTACTTGAAAAGGTAGATCTCTATGACAGTAGTAGTGAAAATCTGCTACTTAGGTTCACCAGTGTCACAGTTACAGCAGAAACTGTAAATTGTACCTAGTAGAAGACCCATCGGGAGTCATTTCCATGGCTCCTAGTCTGCAGAAGTTCCATGAACGCAGAGGATTATATACCTACAGAAAATATTGTATTGTGACCTCATTATACATGGACACTTCTCCCTCGGCTGTGTCTGTTCAAAATTCCTGTCTACCATCAGCAGTTTCCAGGATTTTCCTTTTCACAGACACCACTTGGTAAAATGCCCATTTGCTGTATTATTATGAGGCAGTGGGATAAGTTAGAAAAGTATGTTGGGTTAAATCAAAAGCAAACTGATCAGGGCCTACTGTAGTGTCTAAAAAAAAATCTTTACTGAAAAGATAAGTGGAACCAAATTGTAGACACTTATTTAAAAGGATTCCAAAGAAATTTAACTGTAACTTTGTTAAAAAGGCACATCGGTGTTTCTAAAATTTGAAAGGCAAATAATCAATGAAAAGGAGATATATTATAGGGAATAGGAATTGCAGTTATAAAAGACCAAAAAAATTGGACATGAAGAACTTCTTTGCAGAATTCTGTAGTAGAATTTGGGTAATGAAGCAAACTTTTGTTTTACTAGGAGTTAGGAAAGTGAGATAGTTGTGGCCTATAAATTGAGATTTCTATAATAAACCTTGAAAGTGAGCACTTCCTATTTTCTGAAGGGGAAGAAGGAAAGAAAACTTGCTGAATTTAAAACTCCCAATGAAATAGGAATTGCATGTGCTCTACCTGTTCCCAGAGATAACCCTTTAACTATGAAAGGAGTTTAACATGCTGCTGCTGCTGCTGCTGCTGCTGCTGCTGATTTTAACATTATTTGTTTGTCAGGAGGAACGACCAACTTCTCTGTATCAACAGAATTTCAACAAAAGAAACAAGTTCTCCCACTCTGCCAGAAGGCATGGATAGATATACTACAAGAGTTGTGGAGTTTCAGAAAGTGAGTTTTATTCTTAAGGAGTCATGTATGTCTCTACTGGGCAGCAGTACCATGAGCATAAAAATAAATTTTTAAAAGCTCTCATAAAAATTTCAGCTAGAGACATGCATAATTACTAAAATCTGGGATACAAACTGTAGTCCTCAGCTCACCTCTCCACTCCTAAAACCAGGAAGAAAAGTTGGCATGGGATTTGTCTGAAAGACCAACAATTGTGAGGAATTTGAGATGAGTCAGAGTAGCACATTCCAAAATCAATGAAAATTTGCCTTTCATCAGCTCCCTTTAAAAAATCCAATATGTTAATAGGAAATGCCTTGGGTACCATCACATTAAGAAAAGGAGAGCACTTTAAGACTTTTTGTACAATATGTTGTACTTACACTTTTTCATGAGTAGTTGTTCATGATTTAACTCCTTGTGCAGATATTCTAATTGCACTATAAAGGCTTTTTGTTCAGAATTCTTTTAAAATAAATTTTTGCTTTTATTGGAAGGTAAGAATAATCTTAATGGATTGAATTGTTTTGGAGGAAGAGTTTTATCCCTCATAACCCTCTAGTAATGCTGTAATACTGCTAGCATCTGAGATAGATTAGGGAAAGGGTTTTCTGTCTCAGTTTTTGCATTGCAAAATTTTACTATTTATAATAACAGGAAAAGAACTATCATTTTTTTGAGATGAAAAACACTGGTATATGAAAGAAAATATTTGGGGACCTGGCTGGCTTCTTAGTGTCAGGCATTTGACATATGCTTTCCAGAAAAATTGTAAAGCTTTCTGGAATATTAAATATTTCTTTTGCTGTCTTGACAAACAGTTCCAGAATTTATTTTCTGTTGTGTTCTGTTCCTGCATAAGCCAAACTGCTGTATACCTCAAGTAATTGATAATGTAGGTATAAATAAATATTTGACGTATATTTAAGATTTTCATGGAAGATTTTTTTAAAGAGTATGGAGACCTCACCTTTAAAGAAACCAGAGGCATCAACTTTAAAGAAACCAAGAACAGAAGCCTTGAGTCCTATTTGGAAAAGACAGACTCTTCGACAGTATTTTGTGAAACATCCAAATATAATGAAATCTCCAGAAGCACAAAGGTAAATAAGTTGTCAGGTTCATATACAGAACCAAAATATTTTGACTGAGATTTAGTTTACAATTAAGTGTGTTTTTCAAAACTTTTTTCTATCAAAGGGATGAATATGTGCACACTCCACTCACTTCTCTATTTTAGTTTGGTATAAAATTGGCTTCCACTCAAGAGAACAAAATCTATCTCATTTCTGTTTCAGAGAATAACTGTTGAAGATTTTGAAGTCTTTGTATTAATAATCAAAGACTGTATTTCAGTTCTGTTAGCTTGAGCATGTTGATTTATCATGGTGGAAAAGCTATGTTAATCTGCGTACTATAATGCTTTTCAAACTGTGTTGGGGAGCTTACCTGTTAGAAATCTAATAAAGAATGTTTATTTGTTCCTGATGTTCAGGTAGTTTCAGAGTGATTTTTGTCATCTTTTTGCTAGTCTTTTTGGATTATCTGTTCTGTAGCTTTCGAAAACTTTCTTGATAAAAACAAATGAAAATTCATTCACCTCTTCTTTTGAAAGATAATTGTATATATTTGGTTAACTTGCTAATAATGGTACCTTCTGACCTAAAAGAATTTGTAGTATTCATTACCTGGTGCTTTGGTCACTTATGCTTCCAGCAATTACAAGTAGAAAACTAGAAATATCTGAATATAAGCAATCACATAACTGGTTCTGGAAGTGTTTCAAATAAAGAACCTCAAAAAAGTCTTCCATACACTATCTTCCAAATACTTACCTAAACCGTCCATTTTTCCTCCTCAACAGAAAAGACCTGCCTTACTTAACATGATTTTCACGGCTTTTAGTGGAAGAGAAGATGTTTAACTTATCCTGGGCTTTTTGCTTTTTCAGCTACACTTTCGTATCTTACATAATAATATTGCTATATAATATGGTCAACATTGTATATGGTATACTGTTCTGCCCACATTTTAAAGGTGCAAAACAGGCAGAAAAATAACTTAGATTGATAAAGGGATCAGTTTACAGTTTATAAAAAAGAAAAAATGAGATTTGATTTGACTACAGCATTGTATGTGTGCCAGGTAATACAGAATTATTTGATCTGGCAGAGAAACATAAAAAAAATCTATGGCTGGAAATTAAAGCCAGGCATCCAAATTTGAAATCAAATATTCTCTTCACATTGAGGATGATTATCTACCAAAACACAGCAATAAAAAGAATGATCCAAATTTATAGTATAATAGTAGACCCTCCATCTCCTGAACAGACTGTGTAAAACACATTGTATTTGCTATAATAATCTGGATGATTCAGGTACAAATAACTTCAAACACAGAGCTAAACTTTTTGTAAGTACTAAGACAAATATCTTAAGGAAGTTGGTAAAATATGAGATAGGATTTAGTGTGTGTTAAGTGCACTTAAAGAGGGAAAGCACAATTGCTTTTCCTGACTGCAGCAAAGATCCTTTTGCTAGAAATATGTCATATGCTTCTGAGTTAATGCAGGTCTGTGGATATGCAATGGGATACTTCTGTGTATCTTTACCATGATTTTCTTTTCTAGAGCTTCAAGAAAACACAGTTTCATTTTTTGCTACTTCATATATTTTGGTTTAGGAAATGCAAGGAAGAGTTGCAAAAAGTAGCTCGTCACACCTTAGTGGTACTGCTGAAACCAGTTGTGAGTAATTACTTAAACCGAAAGAAGTTTCATCAAATGTGTCTTGAAGAGATGCCCTGGAGGTCTCAGATGAATATCTATCTGGCAGTTGCACACTACAACTTATTTAAAAAGAAACTGGAAGAGCAATATAACATTGGAATTTGTGGTTCACAGCATCTGGACAGGTATATCTTACTGCATTATCAGTGATTGCTATTAATATAGATTATTGTGTTATTGCCATTAATGCAAACAGATCTGAATTACAATATCATCAGTCAGTTTGTCATATGAACAGTTCAGCTTCCAAATGCAAATCGGTTTACTATGTAACAAGTTTTGCTTTCCATCATATGGCAGGTGACATGCACATTTTTGATTGCTCACTCGACTGGTCAGATGAAAGTTTTGAAATATTCTATACGGTGCTATTTTTTGGTTCCTTGTAACTTTTGGCTATCATTCATTATTTCTGATTCCTAAAGCTGCTGGAAAGTAATCAAAACTCACTTTTGAGAAACTGAATTTTGTGTGTGTATATCAAAATTCTTTTTAATATTATATCTGGGTTTTTTTTGTGCTTTGTTCTTTTTCTCCCATTCTGCAGTTACAATATTTTGGATCCTGAAATATTCTCATTAAATAATTCTGGCACTGTAGTGGTGAGAGAAGCTGTAGAGAATAACATGAGAACACCAACTCCTCCTCTCCTTAAAAAGTCAGGAATGACCGAAAACCAAACTTGTAAGAATTTTTAACGGGTGCACAACTGGAATCAGTTTCAACTTAACTTTTTCTCTTAATTTCTATCTTGACCTCCATCATTAGTTCTCCACATCACCTGAAACCTATAGCTCAGATATTACTGTATCCCACTAGCATGAACCTTTGTGTTTACCCTTGGAGGATATTTGGTATTGAATGAAATAATGAAGCAATTCTACACACACCACAGAATTTTTCAGAAATCTCCCCTCCTTCCTAACTTCTCCTTTTAAGAGGCCTCAGTTTCAGAAAGGTTCTTGGGAGCTTGCCACACGGTGATTTCTTCCTGAAACTTAACTTCTATGAGGGTTGTGTTTTGGCTTTGAGGCTGAAAGATATTTGGTACACATTATTATTTTGCTCAAACTTTTTTTTATCCCTGCTTCTCCCAATGCTTAAGTAAAGCATCTTATATTTTAAATATCATAACCTTATAAATATGATAACCTTAACATTGGCATTTCCTAACATTTAAGCATTTAGCTGCCACAGGAAAATCTTAGCTGGCTGATAATATTTTCTTTTTTTTTTTTTTGAGAACTTTAACTCATTTTTAACTAGTGAACTTTTTGTCTTCAGGTACAGATAAATCTTCTGAGCACAGCATTAAACTGAGTAGAACTGATGATACTCCTCGAACTCAAACGACAAACGATACAGAAATATCCATCTCGCATTCCCCCAAAGAATACAACCAGTTTCTGTCAAATACCATTTTACTGGAGCATTTTACAAAAATCTTTTTGCATTTAAGGAGAGCAGTGGTAAGATACGCTTTCTTATTAAACATTTTATTTATTACTAAGCATTGCATTACAGTACTTACTACTTTCTACATTAAAAAACTCACACTTCAGAAACTTCAAAAAAACTCCAGTGGGAAAAAGCAATGATTTCTCATCTTCTGCAAAATGTCCAAGTACAGTGTATGAAATGTCAGACATATCACCTATCATAATGTATATTTCTATCAAACATATAATAATTTATATAAATGTTATATTTTTCACTTAGTCTTTGTAACTTTCCTTCTCATGTTTGTTAAATCTTTCTGAAAATACTTGCAGACTTACCTTTCCCTTTACAGGTCTTAGTGAATACCTTGGTAGTATAAACAGAAGGACCAGTGATTGAAAGGAAATGCAGACTGACTACTTTTCCCATAAACCCTTCTAAAACCAAGTAAAAACACATGTATAGGTGGTGTGAATTAATTTTTACTTCTTATTCTCACACCAAAAGCAACAATTAAATTCAATTGTAAATTAGTGCTTCTATGAAAATTTCCGAATTAAGGTTCTACAATGCTTTATATAAATTGAAATAATGAATGATCTGTTATTAAGGATGATCCATAGACTGTAATTTTGAGATTACTTATACCTAAGTTTTGCAATAAAAGAATGAATTTCTGTATTTCCAAAGTATAATTATATTTTGAATGATATGCATAGGTTCTTGCTCACCATGGTGGCCACTGGACGCTGCTTCAAAATGCTTGTCGAGAGCTTTGGAACTATACTCAAGAATTACAGTTGATTGCTAACCATTCACATTCCCATACGGATGCATTTCCCATTACCAGGGGTTTTCTTAGGAACACCATCTGGTTGCCATTTTATTTGGCATCAGACATGATCATTGATATGATAACTGAACTACAAGCAAGCAGGTCTCTTAAGGTAAAAATTATTTTTATTAAGACGGTGTAGTCTTTATTATCACATCTTCAGTAGAGATAGTTTATTTTCTCTTGCATTATATTCTGATATCTCCAAGTTATTCTCTGTAACAATTTTTTAGAGGATTACAGTATTTTCTAATCTTTATAATTTGATTTGTCCTAAAAACAAGTTTGAAAATAACAGGTACAACAATGTTTTTTCACTGTAGATTGTGGATTCTGAAGGAGACTTCTGCATTCCCAGTTGTTTAGGAGGTATTATGGATGAGAATGGTGGTTCTAATCTCCATCCACAGTCTCCCCTGGATGATGTGAATGTGGTTGACTTGAAATGGATATGTAATCTGATTCTTAAAACAATAGAATTGTTATATCAAATGAAGAAGTGGGAAGCACTGGTACACATAGCTGTACAATTTAACATATTTACACAGTAAGTTACGCCAACTCTAATAAAAACTAAAAAGCAACATTATATAGTTAAATATACCATTATTTTGCTTAATTACTATACTTTGCTTTTTTTTCAGTGAGAGATACACAGAACAAGTGAGTCCGCTGCTGGTGTATGCTCAGAGGCAGCTACTGGAAAGGATACAGCAATTCAGTGGCCCGGACAGCCATGAATCGCATTTCATAAAATGTCTGTCTGATAATGCACATAAGGTGAACCATAGATTTCTTTTTTGGGCACTGACTCTTAATGTGAACTAAATATAAAGAAGTACTTTCACTGATTAGATTAATACGGTTTTTCATAATGTTCACAAATAGTAAATTATAATAGATTAATTAACATAATTGATTGAAGTGCATGAAAAGGCTTATATGACATGATTCCAGCAGCAGCAAAGGTCTGGACTTGGTGACCCAGAGAACATTTCTTCCGTGCATAATGTACCCATTCCATATTATGAGCCTAAATCTAATTTCATGTTAGTTCTTGATGCTGCTCTTTTAACCTGAAAACATTTATTTGGATATTGCACAATCTTTGTGATTAATTAAAATTAAATACAAAGAGATTGCTTTGTTTCTGCATTGGAACACTGCTCCTAAAGACCACAATTAATCAAACTGAGTTAACCCAAACACTGACAATACCAATAAAGAACTTGAAAAACTTGATCACCAACAAAAAACCCCTAAGCTGCTCCGCAAGTTCCTCTCATTAAAAGCCGTGGCTCTATATATTTAGTAAACTGACATTGCCACTTGGAAATTTTTCATGGAATTAGCTATTAAAAATTAGAATTTTCCTTTTTTTAACTTAAGGTTTATTTCTAAGAACTTTTGCTAAAGTCAGTTGCATGGTTGATATTTTTAATATGTTTCTATTACTAATACAACCACAGGACTTGAAGCGGGGGGATGAAGTGGGGTTTGGAATTCCAAATGGGTTTGTTCTGAACATGAACATGGGGTTCAGGAGCCACTGCCTCACCTAGAGACAGCACACTGCTGCCCAGGGCTTGCAGGAACTCAGAAGGCACTCCCGGCTTGCGAAGGGCGGCCGAGGTGCTCTGCCTTGTCTCCCTGTAAGGCTGTTTCCTG